CTTATATATATATATATATATATATATATATATATATATATATATATATATATAATAGGCATAGTCTGGTACAAGGTCATATATAGAGAGGACAAGAGAATATTGAACGACGACATGAGATGGTCTGCGGATTAGTTTGCTAATTACTACATTCTCTCTCACATACATACACACACAGATATTTTCTATTTATACGTTATTTTTATGGATACAACTTATTTGAGTAAATGTGATGTTTTTTTTTTTTAAAGTAAACAGTATCTATCTATCTATCTATCTCTATCTATCTATCAAAATGTCTGGCCACTTTTATCCGAGGATGTTCGTCTACTATGGCGGCTATGCAATCTCTGTTGCAGACTCCTGCTCAGACACATTTGTGCTTGTTCAACACCCACAGATCCTATCTGTGGTTTATATTGCAACTATGCTGAGCGGACTTTAGTTACATTTCTATGAGAGGGCGCGTTATCTAGCCTGATCAACGGTTTGAACAAGGCCAGCACGCTCAAACGCTCGGTCACGATGACTTATGACTTCGTGCTACCAGAGCCATCGACGGCACGCCAAAGAGTCCTATCTACCCAATTTTACACTCAAGGTTTGCGTCAATCCGGGTGTGGTTTTTCAGGCACTTTCCAAATCTGCCGCACGCTGGGATCGCACCCCTTCCCTCGGGCGATAACCTCGAGAAAACACCTTCCTGACAAATCGACCATGGTGAGATAGTAAACGTTCCCACCACTCGACCACGTACTCTTTCTTTCTTTCTATCTATCTATCTATCTATCTATCTATCTATATCTATCTATCTATATAATGAAGAGGAATCAACTTTATAACGCCATCCTCCTGCACCCTCGCACAAAATCGTCCTGAACTTAACCTACAAAATATGACCTTAAAACATACTGGGTCCTCAATACTGAATGTCGTTCCTTTCCTGGTCGACAAAAGAATGTTTGCCATAAATTAACGAGTTCGGGATTTTCTTCCGCTGCCTTTTATTGTTCATTGATTTGCGAGAGGAGAAAATACCAGGCAAGTTGAGTGACTGATCAGTAAATATTTTACCAATATAAGTGGTGAAAGAGGAAAGAGAGAGAACGGTAACTTGAAGAATACGTTTTTGTTTTCTTTGAAACCGAGTTGGCATGTATAGGCGATTGTGTGTTTAAGCTCTAGACAGGGTCTTGAAAGGGGGACATTTTAATGGGAACGACACTCCGTTAAGAATCGAGAGGTGAGACGTATTCATCTGGATTACATCGCTTAAGAATGAAGCACGAGTTTGTTCTTAATGAATCCCTTTCATCGGCATCGACAAGATTACGGAAATAGTAAATGAAATATACGACAGTGATTGATTGATTTTTCTGTTTAACGAATTATCAACTCCTTATGGGTCATTTAATTCCGATAATTAAAGTTCTTGGGAGCAATAAAATATGTTATTCTGCTTTCACAATTGAATACATGGTAGATGATACACAGCTTTTGTGCATATATATGTTTGTGTGGTCTAGAGGCGTTGATACATGTGTTTTATGTGGAAGTTTTGTTGAAATTATATTTTGGAATACAGTTTGATTTAACATAATATAGGGTATTATATGGATTAATATTATAAGAGTTCTTTTATATTGGTTGATTGGTTTTGTTTATCGGCATATCAACCTCTATGGGTTATTTAATGCCAAAATCTATATAATTTGAACACAATTATATGACTTCAACTAGATATTTTCAACGCAATTGTATCCTTTGAACTATAAAATTTATTGCTGGTTATTTTACTTAAAACATTGATTACTTGGAAGTAATAAAAATCTTATTCTACTTTCACATTTGGATACATGGTAGCTGATACTCAGCTTCTATGCATATCCATTTTTGTGTGAACATAATTACTAGAGATGGTGATATGTATTTTTTATGTTCTAGTTGCATTTTAGAAATACAGTTTGATTTAAGTAATTGTACGATATTGTATGGATTAATATCATAAAAGAGTTCTTTTATGTCTGTTTGGTATTATTTTTAACGGATTTGGGTGAAGTCGCTACAATTTGTATGCGTGTGTTGTTGGTAATTTTACTATAAAAAGGTATTGCTAGTATTTTTATATAAAATTTATTGCTGGTATTTTTGCTATAATTTTTTTTATTTTTTGCACTTTCATAGTGTTTTGTCTTTCTGGAACCTTAAGAGGTGATCGCGTGATACTCAAAACCTTAAAATTTACCGATCAGAGGCCTTGCTGCCGGATGTAGTTTATTGTCATACCAAGGACTAGACAGTGGTTTATATGTCAGAAGATCTTAGTAGATCCATCTACGTAGCGCTGCCTAAAAAAAAAAAAAAATCCCCCCAAAAAACAGATGCAAATGAATGCGACCTTCGTTGGACAAATACCTTAATGAACCACATAACTAAACTTATTCTGATGAATAGAGCGCGTAGGAAAAGTAGACTGGAAATAGGACAAGATCAGTGTAGTTTCGTTAAAGATACTGGAACAAGAAAGGTAATATTTATAAGAATGATATTGTAGAGAGCAATAAAAATACAGAACGATGTATACCTATTTTATAGATGACGCAAAAACATTTGCTAAGGTACAACACAACGCAAAAAAATAGGCGGTTGCACTATAAACAGGTAATTTTTTTTTTTTTTTTTTTTTTTTGACGAGGTTAAACTTCATGCATTTTCGGTGTCCGGTTGCACTATAAACAGATAAATGTTTTCTGGAGGCATTAAAATTCATGCGAAAGATTTCAGGTGTCGCACTGTCGATGACGTCAGTTTATACTCGTGTATATACGGTAGCCATCAATCTTAAGAAGACAGAATGTATGGTTGTCAGCAAGAGGAACAGCCAATGAGTTATAGACGTCATACTTAGGCATGTACAGAAATATAGAAAATTTGACCAGTCTTTTAACAGAAGATGGAAAATGCCGTACAGGAATCCGGAGGCGCATTGGAATATCGAAAGATGCCTTTCAGAAACTAAACAAAATATAAAAAAACAAGAAAATATCATTAGAAGCAAAGTAATAGCAGTCCTACGGTATGGCAGTGAATTCTGGATGAAGAGGAGTCTTGGGGTAACAAATACTGAGAATACCATGGACTGAGCATGCGAGCAACGAGGAAGTTTTAAAGAAAATGGAAGCAAAACGGACTCTTAGAATCAGAAAGAAACATTTGACATTTGTTGGATGCATAACGACCATACATTGTCTTTTTACAGCTGATGATTAGACCTTTCTTCTTGCTTTCATTCACTATCTTGTCTCGGAGTTACTGCAATAACACGGAGTATAAAATCTAGACCTTAGGAGTTCTCACACACAAAAGGGTCGTTGTGGCTTGATGAAATTGTGCAATATAATACATTTCGATGACTTTTTGATAAATAAACATGGTCTTTGTTATTGCTGATTAGAATACCAGCCAACTCTTGTCATCCTGAAGCAAGGGGCTTTGTGTTTTCGCTTGATTTGTGACCGTAAGCAATATAAACGAAGAGAAATGGCGAATGAAAAGAAGAAAAGACGTTATATTATAGGGACAATTCAATTGTGTCCAGCTAAACAGCAGGCGTCCTGTTTTCTCACTGTCAAAGACCACTTGTGCTATTGGTATGATGCTAAAAGGGCGTGTGTGCGTATGTATATATATATATATATATATATATATATATATATATTTGTGAAGTGAGAAAATAATTCGCAATAAATATGCTTAGTACCATTGTTAAGAAAACTTCACAAAATGTCTTTGTATCCGAATATTGTCTATGTCACCTTACAGAGATCATTCTACCCATTCACATAATGGGAAAACATTCAAAAAGGTCTTATGTCCACATACGTATTTTTTTTTTTTTTTTTTAGAAACACATCTGCAAATTTCTATGGCAACGTGTTTTCGTTGTTTATAGACGAAGATATATCTTATTGTAGTAGGTGATTCACACCAAGAAATGAGGTCTGAATCGAATCCGAAAACTCAGAAAACTCTGAACTAAGAAAAGTTGAGTTGTGGGAGATTCCATTGCATGTTGGTTTCATCCAAAGAGATACCAAAGTGACTCATTGTTATCTCAGACTTGGATCTGAGAGTTCACCCTGAAGGTTCCAAATGCAGAATCAGATCTCAAAGGTCTGACGCACCAAAATAAATAAAAAGGGAACCTTGCTGAACTTGGATCACATGAAGTTACATAAAGCCCGACGAGACACACACACATAAACTGACTGACTCAGAATCTCCCTTCCTCACATTCTTTCAATAAGATCGAACATTAGAAGAAAAATCCAAAACTTCATACCCTTGCTTCAGCCGATGTGAATTTGACGGAGTTCAGAAGTGAATAAACAGTTACGAAAAATTCAATCATGTATTCTTCTCAGACATTACTAACATTATAAAAATGAGCTCCAAAATGTGAACGCTTTGTGTCAATTTTAAACTTTTGATCTAATCTGAAATATGTTTTCACTGGGTAGATTTAATCACGTTGTCACCTGATACAAAATACCAGATGCAGTTGAAACAAGCAGAACATTTGAGTCGAAGACTTTAAAGAATTTTAGTCTGATCATTCTCCCAGATTCATAAAAAAAGAAATCCTGTCAAATATTTAATATTAATTCCCAGTATAAAACAATACATACATTTCCGTTATGCTTCAATATCATATTCTATCCAACTCACAATTCCCGGAATAAATTGATTTATTCAATTTTTTTTTTTCAAAGCTGTACTTCGGGCTGTTTAATTATTTACATTTTCATTTTATGAGAATATGTCAGGTTGTCTTATGAAAACGAGTGTAAACATTAGACCTAATTACAAAGCCTAACCTTCATCATCAAGTCATATCTTGAAGCGTTGCTCTTATAAATGATTTGACAATACTTGAAATATACACACTTTCAAATATCAACTCAAATTGATAACATGTGGAATGGTAATCCTCAAGTTGCATGTCTTATGGAAAGGAGTTACCAATTGTAACGACTGATTTTTTTCAAATCACGTCGCGATCACTATCTGTAACGGTAGTGTTCAAATCCCGTCGTGATCTCTATCTGTAACGGTAGTGTTCAAATCCCGTCGTGATCTCTATCTGTAACGGTAGTGTTCAAATCACGTCGTGATCTCTATCTGTAACGGTAGTGTTCAAATTGCGCTGGAGTCAATCTGCCAGTTGTAATGACATTAGTTTGAATGCCATAACGTTTTCAAAACAAATTCAGCGCATGCGTATTTTTATCTATTTTCTTACTATATTTATATACAGAACAACATAGCTAAAAAAACAAAAACCCCAAAAAACCCCCAAAAACGAGAGATATGTATTTGGGATGCGCTACGTTGTTCAGATGAGACAAAAAATAAAAATTAAAGACGAATCGCTCGGTAGCTAAGACATTATCATATATAATACTAGCAGTAGTGCCCGGCGTTGCCCAGGGATGTAACAGTAAGAGATAGATCAAGTATCAACCATCATAAAGACTGAAAAATAAAATTGACAAAGATTATTGTTTAAGGTTGACGGACACGCATGTCTTAATTAGTTTTTTTTGTTTGTTTTTTTTTTGTTTTTTTTTTTACGAATTGGTCAAACCCAAACTCAAACAATCGTTATGAGTCTAACGATTGAATAGAATTTTATTATAAACAATTGTCTTATAAATGGAATTTTTAAAGCATTCTGAATGTAAAAATAAAGAGAAAAGTGTGCAAGACAATAAGAGACACTACTTGCCAAAAACAAAGTGAAGTTTTGTTGAAATCGGTTGAAAAATGTAGGAAATCCGATCCCATATATAAACGAACACACACACACACACACACACACACACACAAACAACCTGGGTTTTATAATAAGTATAACTCGATATGAGTTGTCCCCCTTTCATTCTGCGAAAGCGATGCCTCTTAATCGTGTTTTCAAATTGATTTCGTGTAAAAACAATTGTTTTTCCAATTTTTGGCGCTGTCAGAACCACCGCAATGTAATTTTACGTAGTCCTGTGAAGTTTTGTTGAAATCGGTTGAAAAATGTAGGAAATCCGATCCAATATATAAACGTACACACACACACACACACACACACACACACACACACACACACACACACACACACACACACACACTCTGCGTTTTATAATAAGTAAGATTACGTCGTGATTATATATAATGAATCTTTTTCTTTTATACTGCTTCATATATATCGCCACCTAGCGGAGTATGTAGAGAAGTAACCAGAAAAAGCCGGTTCATTAATCCCTGACATATTTCCTTGGTGAACAAAGACCTAACTTTATTTTCAAATAATAATGAAAATGATACCTGGTTTATTAAAAAGTGTCATTAGAAAATGATACTCGTGGTTTTGAGAAATCTGTCACAAACTTCGTTGAAGAGATGTCTGGCGTCGACATTAGCCTTCTCTAGCGGTGTCAAAGTTGCTTGTGTGACGTATAGAATTTGTCGCGTATTCTTTTCTCAATGTCACCATTTCATCGGAGACATGTTATGTTGTAATTTCATGCAGTTGGAGATAGAATCAAGGTCACCAGGTCGTCGACTAAGGTCAATACGATACTTCCGGGGCTCTCAAGTTGGTACTGGAAGCTGAATATACTTAGCGACACTAAGCAGGTACACTGTGAAAAAAAAATGGGGATTCGAGTAGTAACAATAACATTTACAAAGGATTTATTATTACTTGTTCACTGCACAGAATGGAAGAAAAGGAAAATAATGGAGATGTTGACTTTGAAAGTTCGCCAAGTGTTAGTGTTGATGTCAAATCATTTGAGGTGTTGACGAAAACTCACGTGATTAGTGAGTACTGAAATTCATACATAGGGAGACTTTCATAAGTAATGTCGATACACGCGCGCGCGCGCGCGTAAAGGATGCGATAGATAAATTGTCGTCTAAATTACGCAAAAATGAACATAACACTGACATCACATTTTAACAGATATATTTATCAAACTTGAACAAAAATATTTTGCCGTCCTTGGTATGACAATAAACTACATCGGCGTCCTGGGTAAGACGATAAACTACGTCCAACAGCAAGGCTCCCGACCAGGAGGTTTTGAGGAGCGTGGAACCACCTCTTAATTGCTGGTGTTCCCAGGTCCACTCTGACCCGGGGTGGTAGCACCTATTAGGGTCCCAGCTATGGGCAAATAGTTAACCCCTAAACTGGGGTCAAATCACTATGAAAGTGTAAAAATAGGTTTTAATACCAGAAATAATTTGTAAAAAAAAAATAAAAATATAATTATTAGCAGGAATACATTTTTTGAAAAAAAAAAAAAAAAAAGATATTACCAGCAATATATTTTTGGAATTATATATTACCAGTAATAAAAATTTTGTCGGTATTAAATAACCCATTGAGATTGATATGCCGTAAAGCAAAACAAACCAAACCAAACCAAAAATATTTTGAAATCCAAAAGAGTAAATTTATTCAATAAAATCAACCACGGCCTCCAGACAAAGTGTTTTGTTTGTCTCTCGCTTAACTGCGCCCCACGCATAATAATCAAGAGGTAAGTAGCCAAATGTAAGGGGTGATGTGGTCGCAGAAATTTTCTGCCAGTTATGACTGGGTTCGCCTGCTTGTGTGATATGGTGCAAAGTCCTGTTGCCAGATATGGGTCTTCCAGAAGCCACCCTTTTGACCAAGGCACTTGATATAGTCCCCCCCCACGTTGAGTCTGAGGACCTCACCAACAAATTCGGGAGTTCTTTTCTTATCAGAACGATCAGTTTTCCGAGCTGCCCTTATCTTCGTAATCACCATTAGACTCATCCACCTTTTTCAGAATCTTCTGCACTGTCCTCAGGTTGATATCCACTCTGAAGTAGTCCTATTGGAGTTTCCGGAGCGAATGCCAAGCAGTACAGCATGCCGTTTTCAAATTTTTGGCAGAGTGAATTGCGTCGTGGTGCTCTTTCTTTTTCTCACAAACGGTGCCCAATGACTATTATACTGTGCCGTCGACAAAATCAAAAACAACGCGCATGCGCGAAATTAAAAATATAAAATGGCGACAATTTACCCATCGTACCCTGTATATGAATAGTGAGCGTATGAAATGGTAGAAAATTTGTTATCCTTAGTGACCATTGTCGCAAAAGATTCTATATTTAAAGTCACTGGGCAAGGTTCCGAAAATTTTTTCAGAAGCATTTCTGATTGGCCTTGAATAAAGACTTACTGCAACTTGATGTTTTGATGGTATTTTCCGGTAAAAACAACTTTTATCATTTGACATACATCTCTAATGATGATGATAATAATAATAATAATAATATCAGACAAGCTGAGGTAGACAAACCCCGAACCCATCAGTGGTTATGTAGTACAGGGTTAAAAGCTGAAAACCGAAGGTTTTATTCTTGCTTCACAGAACCAATGCTTGTTAACTAGAAATTACCAAGCACACATAATGAAAAATTGTGTTAATCCGAAATTCAGATTTTGTGATAAATATCCAGAAACAATTCACCATCTTGTATCAGGTTGCACAGTGTTAGCCCCAACTGAATATAAAACTCGGCATGATTGAGTGGACCAATATCTGCACTGGAAAATATGGAACTTTTACCAGAAGGAGTTTGCCAGAAACTGGTATGAACATTACCCGGACCGGATTTGACAGTTATATGAGACAGAACGATAAAAGCTAATTGTCCAGGTATCGTGATCAAAGACCACAAGAACAGAATACAAATTCCAATGTTCTAATCATAATTGGGACAACAATGGCCTGATAGTTTCACATTCTGGCAAATTCAATCTGGAGATTGGTGTATTTCTTGGATTTGTCAATTTCTTTGATCATGATATTAGGATCACCAGGAACAGATTCGTTGACGATGAGGTATTATTTTGTTATTGCTTTGTTTTTGTCAACGATAGTGATGTCGGCTTTGGTGGCCTCAGGGTTGGTTGGTTGATTTTGTTTAGCGGCATATCAACTTCTATGGGTCATTTAATACTGAAATCTAAATATTTTGAACAATTTTATGGCTTCAACTAAATATATTTTGAATGCAACTGTATGCCTTTTAAATACAGATAAAGTGTATTTTTGATAATTGTTTTTTCTTTTCATATAAAAATGAATTGTTGGTATTTTTAATGTAAAAAAAAATACTTTCATAGTGTTTTGCTTTTGTTTAAGGATTCACTATTTTCCCATAGGTGGGACCCTAACAGGTGCTACCACCCTGGGTCAGAGTGTACCTGGAAACAACAACTTTCTTTGATTCTTTCCATTTCTTTCTTTCTTTCTTTTTTCCCTTTCTTTCTTTCTTTCCCTTTCTTTCTTTCTTTCTTTCTTTCTTTCTTTCTTTCTTTCTTTGCTCTTCTTTCCTTTTCTTTTTTCCTTCCTTTTTTTCTTTCATTTCTGTTGTATACACATTTCTTTTCGGGTCCTAACCAGAGACCTAAGGTAAAAAAACGACTTCATGACATTTTCCATTGATTATTACACCCCCCCAATAAAAAACAAGAAAGTACATTCTGCTTTTGTGATCTTTGATCGCGATGTCTGGGCGATTAGCTTTGATTGTTCATTCTGTATGTATTGTAAATTCCCATAAAATTGTGGCAGCTTCTGTCTCTGTAACCAGGTCTGGGTGATATTCATTATTATTGCCAGGAGAAGTTACATTCCGGTATCAGATTTTCATGCAGATTCCGAAGCTTACGGCCACATCACGTTGAAACATCGGTTCCCGTATGATCACCGAAGTTAAGCAACGTCGAGGTTGGTTCGTACCGAGATGGGTGACCGCTTGGGAATACCAGGTGCTTTAATCTTGCTTGTGCTGGTTTCGAAATGGATAGTGGCTCGGAATTGGTAATCGAAGAGCCGAGTTCTAGTCCCAATCTGGATCGTTTTTCCACTTTCGTGTAAATATCTTTTGAAAAGGTATGAATCCACCTCTTCTCCCCCAGCTGTGTGTTAATTAGCAAGACTTGTATCACTAAATCATCATCTCAGAAAAAAATACTTACAATCTAAAAATATTTTCTGGCTTTAAATAATCTGTAAAAGATCGATAAGCCGTCAGAGTTTCCAAAGAAAAAAGGTCCACACATTTGTTTCTTGAAAACCATGAAAAATATTAAAAAAAAAAAAAAAAAATAATAAAATAAAAATAAAAAAACATCGCCAAATTTTCTGGCAGGTCAACAGAAAGAAAAAAAAATCTTGAATGAAAAGTCTGCCGAGTGTTTTTCAAATTTTAGTTTCGATAACTTTATATAAACCCATTGAAAACATTACCTTTCGGGCGAAAAGGCTTGATTTAGACAACTTTTCGCTTGTTTTCGTGACATTAAAAACAGCAAATTTTATTAATTTTATTTTGTTGTACTACACATGATGTATGAATTGTGGACTTTATGTAATTTATATTAAATGCCTGCCTGAATAGTAGGAACGTAACGGGATATAGGTCATCATATTTAAACTTCATTTTCATCAGATTTAATTAGATAATTTGTTTTATTGACTGACGATATTCGCCGTTCTAACTAAACAGAGGTTTTGCATAGAAGTGTTTCTTTTATTTCCTTTTGGTATTTTACATTGTAAAGAAGTTTTCCTTTTTGCTTTTTGTTTTTTTTTAACAAAAGAATTGTAGAATGTGATTTTACCGAAGGCTTTCATCCTGTTCCCTCTCATACTTATTCCGCGGTTGCGCAGAGGAGTTTGATGGGGTCAGGTCATTTCCTTCTTTTTCTAAGTCCCCGCCATTTCTGCTTTTAATTATCCGGCTCTTTCTCTCTCTTTTCTTTCTCATTTCTTTCTCTTTTCTCTCTCTTTTCCATTTCACTCTCTATTCCCTCTCTTTCCCATTTCACTCTCTATTCTCTCTCTTTTCCATTTCACTCTCTATTCTCTCTCTTTTCCATTTCACTCTCTATTCTCTCTCTTTCCCATTTCACTCTCTTCCTCTTTTCTCTCTTTTCTCATTTCTTTCCCTCTTTCTTTCTCATCTCTCACTCACTCACAAAGACTCATTTATTCTCTATCTACACATATCTCTCCAAAGAAAAAAGTGGAAGATGACACTCCTTTCTTTTTGTTCACTCTTTACAAGGCCCGTGGGCCTCTCGAGGTATGGGGTTACGTTAGGAGGCAATTTGTGCGGATAATAGTGGAAGATAACTGTTAACCCTAGCCTTGAACAAGTTAAGATTGTGATGCTCGGGGGAAAATCCTCTTGGGAGTCCGTTCTACATGGCAGTGGTTCACGGGAAGAAGCTGTTCGAGTGGAACTTAATTCTCACCAATGGAATACGGAGGAAATGGGGGTGGTTTGCTACAATGAGCGTGGCACGACGGGTCATAGCCAGAAAGGTTTGAATTGTCGGGACCAGAGAATATAGTTCGTTCGAGCACTTTCCATCTAAACCAGCTCATGCATGCAGCAAAAAGGCAGACCAGACAAGGGTTTCACGTTATGAGATCTTACTTATTATAAAACGCAGATTGTGTGTGTGTGTGTGTGTGTGTGTGTGTGTGTGTGTGTGTGTGTGTGTGTGTCTGTACGTTTATATATTGGATCGGATTTCCTACATTTTTCAACCGATTTCAACAAAACTTCACAGGACTACGTAAAATTACCTTGTGGTGGTTCTGACAGCGCCAAAAATTGGAAAAACACAATTGTTTTTGCACGAAATCAATTTGAAAACACGATAAAACACGATTCTGTCGCCAGAATGAAAGGGGGGACAACTCATATCGAGTTATACTTATTATAAAACCCAGGTTGTTTGTGTGTGTGTGTATTCGTTTATATATGGGATCGGATTTCCTACATTTTTCAACCAATTTCAACAAAACTTCACTTTTTTTGGCAGGTAGTGTTTCTTATTGTCTTGCACACTTTTTTCTTATTTTTACATTCAGAATGCTTTAAAAATTCTATTTACAAGACAATTGCTTATAATAAAATTCTATTCAATCGGTAGACTCATAACGATTGAAAACAATGTTTTTGTTTGAGTTTGGGTTTGAAAAAAAAAAAAAAAAAAAATACAAAAACTAATTAAGAGATGCACGTCCGTCAACCTTAAACAATAATCTTTGTCAATTTTATTTTTCAGTCTTTATGATGGTCGATACTTGATCTATCTCTTACTGTTACATCCCCGGGCAACGCCGGGCTCTACTGCTAGTATATATATATATATATATATATGAGAGAGAGAGAGAGAGAGAGAGAGAGAGAGAGAGAGAGAGAGAGAGAGAGAGAGAGAGAGAGATCTTGAAAAAGTAATAAGAAAATATTCGTTCACATGGAACTTATTCGAATAGAAGATAACAAACATGACTAAAATATATAAAGAAATATGTAATTTTTGATTTGTAACATATTCGAAGTTATTAAAAGATTTGAACGTTTCCCCTTTCTCCTTAATACCATTTAATTCCCATGTGAAGTGTAGAGCCATAGCTTCACTACGCTAGGTGCTGCTGCTATTGTTTCTTGAACAAGTACATTTTATGGGGTGGAGGGTACGTTGCCAGCCCCACGCCCAACTTATTCGAATTCAGAGTTGTCCTTTTTCCTGGATTGATTGCCAACCAAAGCTAGAGAGATTAGTCTGCCTTGCTATTTAATTCATAGCTAAGTGTTGATTAAGAGACAGTTGCACTTTTTATATTTGTGTGTAAATGAAATGAATGCCGATAACCGCTGCGCTTACAACCACGAGTGTTTGAAATCACCGAATCAAAATACGAGCATGTAAGAAATATCAATCGTTGGTTTTATAGACGAATACTTTTTCACTCTTTTCGTTTCCTTTTCCTGCCACTTGAGCCGAACCTCTAAGTGCTTCGCTTAGATTTCAGTTCCTGGCCTAACATTATAAACCTTTCTCTCACTACTAGTTTTAACTTAAAAATAATTTCCATTTTACTTTTCATATATTTAAACTGAAGTGCCAAAAATTAAAGACAGCTAAGAAAATATAACTCTTCACTTCACCTGAATAACAGGGGCTACACGACGCGACATGTCATTTACGAGCTGCTGGAGTGATAGTTCTTCAAAAACGAATAAACACAATCAGGTCCTGGATATGACGATAAACTACGTCCAGCAGCAAGGCCTCTGATCAGGAGGCTTTGAGGAGCATGAAACCACCTCTTAATTGCTGGTGTTTTCAGGTCCACTCTGACCCGGGGTGGTAGCACCTGTTAGGGTCCCAGCTATGGGCAAATAGTTAACCCCGAAACCAGTAATACATTTTTGAAAAAAATATTACCAACAATGTTTTTAAAAAATAAATATTGCTAACAATACATTTTTGAAAAATAATTATTACCAGCAATACATTTTTGAAGGAAAAATATTACCAGAAATAGATTTTTGACAAAACAAAATATTACCAGCAATAAAAATTTTTTCGGCATTAAATAACCCATTGAGGTTGATACGCCGTAAAACAAACCAAACCAATCAGAACTGCATTTAAAAAAAAAATCATTTCACTCCAAGTAAGGCAACAAAGCCACTAAGACGCAAGGTGCGTGGGGTGATACCGAGTGTGAAAGAATACAAGAAAAATCATTAAGGAGAGAGAAAAATAAAAGAACAAACAATTAAGACAGACGATAACGATTAATATTGCATTTAAATTTTTGAAGATCAGATTTAACTGAAAAACAAGAAGGATGTACGAGTTTCACAAGCAAGAAGTACGAAAAAAGAAACTGTTATCATAGAACTTACGGTTACCTCTAGCCATTTTAATTGTAAAATGATGAGATCTTACCACCAATCTCGTACTGCACTTAAATTAATAGAGTCGAGGTACTATAGAGGAAAGTAATATTTGTTGACTAAAATACAATAATGGGGAAGGCGAGTCTTCAATCTCTCTTATCTTAAACTTAGCAAGCCGCAAACGCTGATCAAGTTACAATAATCCTTGCACCAAAACAACACATTCTTACTATTATTACTACTACATCAGATTCTCTATGAAGTGCTAACGCGTCTCCATATGTACAACTTGTCTGGATATGGTTGATAAAAATAGCAACTTTTAAAAATTAAACCGCAATATATAATTACAATGGTTACAACTTTATATACAAGAAACTAAATAAAATAGTGTTAGTAATCCCACACCCAATTCTTAATTGTGGCAGAAACATGAGTTAACTGGACGAAATTTAATGAAGGTCTAGATAGCTTAACAAGTATTCGACCAATCATTTACTCAACAACACACTCAGACACGAAAACAAATATAAAATACACACTCAAAATACAAAATGGAAAAACCAATTAATGGATTTTATTTTTGTTATTTCAAACATTATTATTAGTGGATGCCCGTATTTGAGTAGACGCTTCGTTTATTTTAAACAGGATTTATGTCGTCTACCGGTCTGCGTGCCCGAAAAAACTTAAGAAAATATGTCCTCTGTGTTCAGGAGGAACCGCCGTCTAATCTGGTGTGCGTTTACCTCTCAACTACGAAGAGCTTCACAATAATGGAAGAGGGCATATTTTCCTATGTTTTCTTGAGTACGAAGGTCGGTAGAATTACAAGTTATAGTTTCTGTTTTGGTAAGGTTTATTTTGAGCCCTATTTATTGGTGCTATACCCCGCTTTTTGGTTTCGTAGAACAGACTCCCGAGTGGATACTTCCCAAATCAATACAATTTAACCTCTTTAAGTCTAGTCAACCGTTATCTTTCCTACATATCCTTTTAAACTGTACTTCTTACCTCCTCTTACATACCAGTAATCCTCTGCCTTGAGTGTCTCATCGCCTTCGTTCTGATTTTTTTTTTGTCGAAAAGGATGAAATTTCAGTATAAATTTCTGTCTGGAGTTAAGATAAGCAATATTAATTATGCACCATATCATTGCATCTGTTATCTTTATCTTGGCTGTTTTTATATTTATAACGTTTCAACTGCTGAAACACGGGCCTTCTTCAGATAATTTTCGAATTCCGTTTTTGTAATCAAGTTAGTCATAACAGCCGACAGATAATGTGACGCAGATATCTGAAGCGCATTGGAATAGCGAAAGATGTCTTTAGGAGGCTAAACGAAGAATTAAGAGATAAGAAAATTTCGTTAGAAACAAAGAAAAGTGTTGATCTGTTAATCTCCTATATGGCAGTGAATGCTGGACAATTTCTTTACAGATGAAGCTGAGACTTACAGAGATGTAGTTCTACAAAAGGGACACTAAGGATATTATAGAAAGAGCATGTGATCAGCGAATAAGTTTGAAGGAAAATGGGAATGAAAAGAACACTTACATTTAGAATCAGAGAGAAATCTCCGGGACAGACGATGAAGAAGGGTTGCTTGGAGAATTTAACTGATTGGACACATTGAAAACAAGGACAAAGAGAAACAACGAGTAATCTGTCTAAGGAGCTTATATCAATGGACGACAGAATAATTTGGAAGGAATAGCAAGACGACAAACGTTGCTTAGAACTACGCAGAATAGGAAAGTGTGGAGAGCTATGATCATCCATGTCCCGAGGAGACCTGGCAAATAAGTGTTGCTTTTGTTCGTTCTTTTCGATTAAATATGGAAATACTTTTTCTTATTTTGCTACTCAGAAGTTATTGCATATCACTGATGTCGTTTTCTTTTATCACAGCTGTCAGGTCGTTTTATACTAATGTTCACCAAATACAAGGCCCAAGAGCCACTCAAGGTTGGTTACTGGTTGATATTGCATGGGCATAAGAAAAAGGCAAGAAGTGCAGTTCATGAGGTTATGTAGGAATGATAAATGTTAACTCTAGACTTGAAGAGGTCAAGATTGTAGTGATTGGGAAACCATCCAGACGGGAGTCTGTTCAACAAAAGAGCAGTTCTTGGGAAGAAGCTGTCCAAGTGGAACTTCTTACTAATCGAATACGAAGGGAAATTAGGATGATTCACACTGGTCTACGTGGCATGGCGGGTGCTAACTAAAAAGGTCCGTGTTCGTGGAACCAAGAAATCTAACTCAACAGAACATTTATCATGTAAATAACAATCGTTAGAGATAGGCTTGTGACGTTTCAGCTCTGGGAAAGGGTTGGAAATAGTCGATCACCTACAAGACCGCGTAGACGGTTTGCAGTCTGTCAAGACAGGCGAGTGAAGACTGGGTAGTTCCAGCCAAGATATGGCAACGAATACTCCATTTCTGGTCTGATCTGACTCTTGTAAAGAAAGAGCAGAACATAAGAAGTCAGCTACTTTTTAAAGTGATACAAGCTAAAAAGTGATTTTTGATTGGGCAGCTCCAGCCAAAATATGGCAGCAATGCTCCATTTTTGGTCTGATCTTGGTCTTGTAAAGATAGAGCATAGCATAGCTGGAAGAACTGACCATTTTCTCAGTATCTTTAGAAATAATCCATATATACGAGTTCCACTTGCGGTCTGGGGTGAGATTGTCACAATAGGCATTCGAATCGAGAAGCCTCCTTGAGAGAAGATCCATCCATCATGATAAGTGGAAGTTCAGGGTTTGTCATCAGCATAGATATTCATTAGAGATCTGAATATATTCTCAGCTAGATTATTAGCATTGAGCAGAAAGAGAGTAGGACCAAGGTGATCCCATTGATCCCAGCATTGATCCCATCGGCTTCCAATGACTGGTTGTTAACAACGACCTTCAGGGACCTACATGTTAGGAAGGACTTGATAACTGAGAAATCCTTTTCAGAGATTCCATAGCTGGATATAGTTTATGTAGCAGCCCCCGATGCCACACATTGTCAGAGACCTTTGGTATATCTAGAGCGATAGACCTCGTAATGAATTTGTTTAGTGCCTAACTGATTCTATGACTAATGGCAGTTAAAACATATGTGGATCTAGCGGAGTGAAATCCATACTGGTTATCGCTCAGGTTGTCCATGTTGAGGTTTTTAAACAACCTTCTTGTTGATTACAGATTCGAAGTGTTTTCTGATGACACTAAAGAGGCTGATGGGTCGATATTGCGACTGTGATGAGTACTTAAATGCATTTTTAAAAACAGGATACATAATTGGCACCTTCCATAGACTTAGGAAGCGTCTTTCCTTCAGGCAGCGGCTCATCAATTTTGAGAGTATCTGAGATGACTCTGTGCTGTTATTCTTAAGAAGAACCACTGGGATTTTATCCGGACCAATGGCATTCTTAGAGCCAAGGCTCCTAACATTTACTTAACAATCGCGGAATAGATTTAAGAATTACTAGAAAGTCGAGAATGTAAACCAGAAAATAAGAATGAAAGAAGGGCGGCTGCTGCTATTATTATTATTATTATTTTTATTATTATTATTATTATTATTATTTTATTATTATTATTATTATTATTATATTTTTTAAACTGATTTCAAGTGTTGCCTGTTTTGCCTTGGTTAATTAAAATCAGTCAGTTATGTGCCATGCGTGATACACACTTAGGCAAACATGTATCTTTCGATACATGACTGACGAGGCAGATTTTTCCTGCAGTATGTTGCCATTTCTTTCTGCGATAGACCAGTAGCTTTCCAAGGCTATAGAACCCGATCTGTCTTGGTATTAACCCATAGCTAGGGGGAGAAGAAGAGGATTCATACCTTTCCAAAGGGTATAGCACGTAAGTTAATGTAATGGATTTGACTGGAATTCGTACTCAATCCGAGCTGCTATCCATTACTCCACAGAGGCTACAGTAAATATCCCGTTCACTACGACAGATCTGCTTGTTGGATGCGTGACCCTAACCAGTTGGGTATGACCCCTAGAGTCCCATTCACTGTGCGTCTATTTTCATGTGCGTGGGTAGTGGGGAAGCATCATGGGCGAGTGTCAATAGTTTTTTTTTTTTTTAAACTTGAACGATGAGTCAACAAAAGCGACTTGTGAGTCATATCTAGAAACTAGGGAACACCCTAGATCAGAGCCTCTCTCAGTGGAGTCGTTTACCTGATCTGGAGGTATTTCTAACTTATCCTCACCTGCAAAGTAATAAACTGCTTTTCTCAAAATCTCTCACTATAACGCGCACATTTGCTTGTAACGTATGTATCTGCTATAACTTTATCAGACTGCATATCATATGCATATATCATATGCGTATATTGTGCTTCGTATATTTGTAGCCCAACGTTACTACTACTAATAATTATAATAATAACTTGCGAGAAATACACAAGATGTGAAAGACAAAGCAGCATCATAGATATGACTGAGACATATGCGATATGGCAACGAGCAACCGAAAGCTTGATAACAGCAAAAGACATTGTTACCAATTTCATAAACAACCATAGACACAAAACATCAATTCCTCCAAAATGTAGGCTTTGTGGTGAACACTCTAAGGCTGACACTCCCCTGATGTTAACTCGAAAAGATTAATAGGGGTCGCCCTGATAAGGTATGTCTTTATGTACATGGGTCACTGTATCGAAAGTATAGATACCAAATTGCAAAAACAGGTAAGTTCATGTGACTTGCAGAACAATTGAAGAAGGTAGAAAACCCATAATATTCTAGGTCTATGATTTTCAGACAGTGATGCACCATCGCTCTTCGGATATTATTGTGTTAGATAAAAGCATCAAGAACTGTCATATTATTGATGTTGCCATATATGGCGCAAATATAAAAAACAAGGTGATTACGAAAATTAATAACTATTCTGATTTGAAAGTTGGGATGGCAAAATTATTCGGAATGCAGGAAGGGAATGTCAAGGTGATTCCAGTAGTGATTAGCGCATTGGGATCAATTCCATTAAAACTGCGACTTCTTTGACCAGCTGGGGATACCAACCATACCAAATCGGAAATACAAAAATCGGCTCTTTTGAGAACTGCGCATATTTTGAGAAAAGTGTTGTCTGTTTGAAGTTCTTGTGACTTGGTAGATAACTTAGTGTAAGTTTTTTTAATACTTTAAGTGATACAACATAATAAAAACGTGTTATTGTAAATATCTCGTTCAGTACCGCATATTTGCTTGTCAGTTGTCTGACCCTAACCAGTTGTGCGTGGCTCCTACGAGCTGGATCACTGTGCATCTCTATTCCCGAGAAAGAGTAGTGGGAAAGCATCATGGTCGTGTTGAGAGGGTTTTTTTTTAATCGATTTTTATGTTTTAGGGATTAAACGACCAAGGCTACTTGGGAGATGCAAACAGATACTTGAGATCACTCTCAATTTGGAGACCGTCCGAACAGATCTATTTTTACCAGACCTGAAGATATTTTTAAATGGGCCCCACCTGTAAGGTTATGCACTGGTTTTGTCTAAACCTGCCACCGTATCGCGCACATCTGGCTGTGATGTATATGCCAGGTATAGTCTTATCAGAATGGTAATCATGAAACCTATGTAGTATTATGCTGGAATTGGATATGCATTCAGTTTCACACCAGACTACAGAAGCCAGGTGGAAGGCTGACGCGAGATTATTCCCGACCACCGAATTCAGAAGCACTTAACCTGACACCTGCATCCGGTTTTGCACGTGTGGGAAATATTTTTGATGTACGTCGTTATACAAACAACTGCCACAGAGAGAATTTGCGTGGTTGCGGACGAGAATGCAAGGTTCCACGTAGCGAACAAAGGACTCTATAGGTCGCGGACAAACACACAGGCTGAGAGAAAATGATGAAGTATTCCTGTAAATAAAATGTAACGTTATATAATGAAAAATTCAAGTCTCTTGTCATTCATTAGTCATCACGTTATCATTTAAGCAGTACATTCACTTCAGTATAGTTATATTTGTATTTTTATATTTGTACTTCAGCGTCACGTTTGTGGCGTGATGAGCACTCACTCACTTACTACTACTACTACTACGAAGGGAAAAAACTGCTGTTGTCAATTTTGTTATGATGCTGATATTCATAACGATATTCTTAAGCAGCAGATGATTCTGATTCTGCATATGCCAGTCGTGTAAGTGTTGGATTACCGCCCCTGAATAAAATTACAGTCGGCGAGATATTTTGAAAAACTCGTTCTCTTTACCGTTTTACTTCGGGAGCGACAACACATCCTTGTCTTCCTTCCGTAAAACACGCGACATGTAAATACTTTAGAGATCTCAACTGTGGATGGTGCTGAATTATCAATAATTTCAACGATGAAGTTTCTTGTTTTCCTTACTTTTCTGTAAACATGTTTTCTAAATATATTTATTAATTATTGTTTATTTAAATTCCATCTTTTACACACCTCTATTTTTTACCCGGACTGCGAGCCAAATAATACCACTAGTTGTAAAACGCTAATTCTTTTTGTACGTCAACATAATGAAGCAATGGTAAGTGATGTATTTACTGCTGCCAATTGGAATATTATTAAAGCAATCTCAACTTTTTGTTTTTCAGTTCTCTTTCTGCTGGTTGGCGTTGTAGTCTATTGCAAGAACTGGGACCATTATCTAGTCCGGCGCAACTGCCATATTGAGCCAGGAATGTACAGGGTCTACTTGGAAAGGCTGCGTTGGTCCTATGTTCTCTTGTGCCTCGTCCTCTTAATTATCCTCATCATAGTTGTTTTCTCTGTCGCTATCGAACAAACAATCATGCAACAACCGCAGACCGCACGCATAGGTAAGTATTGATTGTTTTAATAATTTTTGCATATATGGGAATGCGTGGTGCTGAGCGTTGGAGAAAGATGATTTGAAACCGCGGCTTGTAGTCGGTGATAAGTGTTAATCACGACGAGATAATTCTGTGAATATAATAAAATTAACAAATCACGAAATCGATATAAAAAATCAACATAAAATCAACAAATCATGAAATAGCATAAAAATCAACATAAAATCAACAAATCATGAAATAGCATAAAAATCAACATAAAATCAACAAATCATGAAATAGCATAAAAATCAACATAAAATCAACAGATCATGAGATAACATAAAAAATCAACATAAAATCAACAAATGATGAAATCAGCATAAAAATCAACATAAAATCAACAAATAATAGCATATTTTAGAACTTAGAAGTTATTTTGTAAATTAATTCATCGTTGCTTTTTATAAATTTTTCGATTAACTTTGTTGCAGAAAGTATTAGCCCCACGCTCTACCTTCATCTTCAAAAGGTCTTTAATTTATGGACATATAGAGAAGCAGATGCCTTCTCTACTTACATTAATCTACCAATGTCGATTTTTTTAACGATTTATCCTACGAAATGAACAAACGTGACGTTTAAAAAATATCACGAGTGAAAAAGGTTAGTAAAAATGATAATTATTTTTTTAAAGCAAAAGTATTAATCCTGGAAAAATTTAAAGCAATCAGTGAATGCGTTGAATAAATAAATCCATCGCCACTGATGCTGAGAAGTTCTTGCTCATCACCACATTCCAAAAATATGAGTAAATGATCAGAGATTAGTGCCGAATCTCTCATCCGAACTACTCAGTAATGGGCGGGCGGGATTGGCTGGTTACATATCAGTGCTTCGAAAACCAAACTAGTTAAATTCCATCATATCCGATTGAACACCGAACTAACGCCAGTCACAATGAATGGGTGTCTCCTCGGGGTGGATCAGTGCCTTGAAATGAAGTATTGCTGATATAGCAAATTGAAAGATGACTATTGGGCCTTAAACTCACTTCTGATCTCAAGTGGAACTCGTACATACGATCCATCGCTTAAGAAGCAGGAAAAATGGTCGGTTCTCTTGATTGGGAGGCTACGTGCCTTAAGAGACTATTGGGCCTTAAACTCACTCGTGACCTCAAATGGAACTCGTACATTCGATTCAACGCTGAAGAAATAGTCGGTTCCCTGTACCGCTCTAGTAAGTACCTCACTCCTCGTGCTACCTTCACAAGAACCAGGTCAAGCCTAAAATGGAGTATTGTTGTCGTATTTGGTCGGGAGTTGTCCAGTTTTCACTTTCCAGTCACGGTAAACCAAAAGGGTCGCAGAGTCCTTTTAGGTGACAAATTATTTTCCACCCTCCAATCTCCCTCTCACAGGCGGCCTGTGGCAAGCCTCACTCTGCTCTGTCGCAACTTTCATGGAAATTGCTCAGACGAACTACATTCTTTGGTTCTGCCATTTCAAACTTTCATGGCTATGACCCCCCCATGCCACTTACATAGTATCAAACCACCCACATTCTCTCCATATTCCATTGATGAGAATTAAGTTCCACTCAAACAGCTTCTTCCCGCGAACCAATGCTCTGTGGAATTGACTCCCAAGGGGTTGTTTTCCCTGATCACTATAATCTTAACCTGTTCAAATGCAGGATTAACCGTTATCTTCCCCCTCCTATCCGAATAAACTGCCTCTTACTGTAACCCCCTTACCTCTAGTGGTTTCCGGGCTTTGTACGGGATGGACCTCACTGTAAAATAAATAAACCTGTCCCCGAGGGCAGAAACTGAAACCAGTTGTCCTATATTTCGTCACGTTGCTTTTACCAGCAAATGGTCCCAATTAATAGTTTTCTTTAACATTAATTTTTCTGTCCTATTGTTTCTCGTCGTTGTTTTGATGTTTCAATGAACCCCAGCATGCCAATCGTTTGTTGTTTAGTTGATATAGCAAATTGAAAGAGAGGAACGTATCAAATTGTAACCATTTACACTGTTCGGACTATTGTCGTCGTCTTTATTGTCATATTCCCGACGTTTCGGCCTTCTTCAGGTGATATAGGATGGAATTTCAGATCGAACCCTTTATTGTGTCCACCAGAGTAGATTGTTCTAGTTCCACGTGCCATGCCTATTCTGGATATCTCAGTTTCAGTTATCTCCCTTTCGTGACGCAAGCACACATGATCCAGTGGATAAAAGCGTTGAGTGAAATAATCCAGTGATTATCGACCCCAAAAGTTGTGAGTTCAATACCTGGCCACAGCAGAGATAAAACAAAACGTTGGAGAGTTGAATGACTAAAGGGAAATAACTTAAACTATGATATCCAGAAATGGCGTGGCACGTGGACGAAATGAAAGGTTCGGTTTGAAATTCCAAAGTATATGAAATGTTTCTTTAGTTTCTACTACGCAAAATATTTCCCAACTTTGCTGACGAAACTCCCACTACAAGTGATGTAAGACAAACAAGTCGGTTGAAAATGTTGACAATCCTGCTTATTTGTAATATTAACATACTTGAGAATTTTCGCTTCGCTGATGGCAAGATGACGATTTCAATTTTATTTGTATATATATATATATATATATATATATATATATAATGTGTGTGTGTCCATTAATATTTTAATTCAAAAATTGTATTTATTACCAAATAATTTCCGAAAAATTCAATTAAATCATATAATTACTTGATCTTATGAGCGTTCAAAAATTTATTTTTTCTCTAAATTCATGATTTTATTGCTCAGCTCAGGATAGATGTTGTCCAGACTGATTGAGGGTAGAATGTATTATTCCAGTATATTATTTCAAACTCAGTTAAATTGTGCATATTTGTTGTAGCATACCTACGGACGATAATCGGTACAGTAGTGAATACTGTATGTGTGGGTCGGCCGGCTTTCAGTTGGAGATTCATCTTCAGCTGGGCTTGTTAAGCTCTCTGTCTCCGAGCAGAGAGCATCCTCAGACGGGGCTATGCCGAAGGGCAGAGGCTCGTCTTGTGAAACACTTACCCGAACTCGTTTTATACGGTGTCTACAGGAAATTTTGGCCGAGACTACGGGCTCGGCAACCCCACATTAAATTCAGCCTTGTGCCACATCTGTCTGCGTGGGGCAGTTGGAGATTCATTGTGGATGTCATTTGACTCACTTTTAGCAGTTGACTACTTCTAAGCGCCGCTGACGAATCTTATATGTGTTGTTCTTGTCCTAAGTATTATCGTTCATTACCAACCTTCATTTGATTATTCTATTCAGTAACCTTCCCTAGGTTACAACAATATGCCATGTGATTGATTATACATTAAGTGTCACAAGCTCTTTGATAATATGGATTTGAACGAATGAGCCACCATCTAAGCCATGTTCCATTCTTTTTGAAGTTCTTGTATATGCAGAGACAAAATTCGACATATTTGGGAATATTTACAATCAATGTCCTGGATGAGAACATTATCGTTCTCACCTTAAAAACCGTTGGAATCTCGCCATTGTCGATTTAATATAGGAAGACGATACCAGCGTGCAGCATCGTTGGGAAGTGACTGAAAACCCTGCCACGGGTTGACCTAGGCCTTTCAAGGGGAAAATTGGTTAGAGGAAATGGTTGTGCTAGCATTGTAGTCACAAGTCGCATCGTGACCGAGGGTCGAAGCATTCTGATCATTGCTGGATCATGCACTATAATTCGGGTATACTCCGGATAGTTGGTGTATAAACCACAAGTTCGCTCTGCGGGTGCTAAAGAAACACAAATGTGTTTTAGTAGCCGCTTTCAACAGGGATTAACTAGCCACAATAGCAGGTTGGTCTAATCGGAAAACGAGCAGCTTGTCGTTAATTATCAATCAATATTTGTCGATTCAAGAGCGTGGTCTGGTCGATCAGTTCATGTGTCTTTTTTTTTAATCATTTCACCCCAAGCCAGGCGGGAATGCCACTAATACGCAAGGGGTTACAGAATGAAGGTGAGAGAAAAAAACTGTGTTTAAATGAGACCGAGGAAACGATAAAGACTGAACGGGTTCAAGAAGATAGAAGATGGCGATTGACGCTGCATTTAAATTTTTGAATATTGTAGCTACCAGAGAAGCAATTAAACTATGGGAGTTCCAGAGGCGGGAAGTGCAAGAAACTTTTCGAGTAGAAGTGGGTGTTACATTTATCGTATTCAACAGTAAAAGAGTGGTACCTAGATGCCAATATAGTACCACACTTAATCACACGATCCAGGAAAAAAAAAAGCTCGTCAGAGGGGTAGCCATGAAAATATTTGTAGAAAACATCGAGGGAAGCTATGTCACGTCAGTGAGAAAGTGACTGAAGTCGAGATGCCAATCAAGATCGATTACATTAGAGATCCTTCTTTGGATTTTGTCATGAACCTCTAGATGAATAGCAGGAGCACCAGACCAAATATGGCAACAGTATTCAATTCACGGACAAATGGTAGATTTGTAAATGTGCAAGATGGACTCTGATTAGAAAAACCTTCTGGCACGACACAGTGACCCAACTTTCCTTGCAGTAGATGCAGCTACTGATTCGATGTAGTCGTTCCAAGTAAGACCAAGAAGGCGCAGTGTGTTGCTCCCTATGAATCTAGTATCAGCCATACTGATGGTGGACAGAAAAGTTTCTCTATGGTGGTTAAATGAGAGCAGTTTCTTTTTGGAGGCATTAAAATTTACATGTCATTTCCTGCCCCAGTTAACAACTGATTGGAGATCCTATTCAAGAGCAGCGGCTAGGTTGACTTTATCAACTCTGACGGGTTTGTTATTGAGACAGGAGTAAATGGTTTGTCATCAGCATAAATACCTATTTGAGAACTGAGGGCTACAGGGAGATTATTGATGATCAGAAACAGTTAGGACCCAGGATAAGACCCTGGGAGGACACCTGCGTTCGTATGAAAGGATCTGGACGTGATTCAAAACGATTTTCATTTCATGATTTGATAGGAACGAC